CTGGCTGTTGTCTCTGTCTCTTGTCGGCTCCTTGTATTATGTCATAGCTGTGTCGTTGTCGTGTTATCGCTGTATCACTGGAGTATCTGTTCCAGGAGGCAGAGTGAGGGCGGTGCTGGCAGAATCTTTACTACCCAGGCCTGTCAACTCCCTGCTTCCCAGCGCCGACCCAGCTCCGTCCGCTCCAGATCCCGCTCCCACCTCCACTCCGACCTCCTCTCCTGCCTCGGCTCCCATTCCCACTCCAGCCTGAGCTCCAGTCTGCGCTCCAGCCTCCGTTCTCTCCGCCGTCCCCAAGACCAGCACCACCTTCAGTTGCTGCTGGCAGCCTGCCTCTCGCCGCTGCAGCAGCCTCTCCACCGTCGTCGGGATCAGAACCACCTCCAGCCGAAGCTCCGGCCATGTCCTTCGCTCCTGCCACCGCACCAGTCTGGCCTCCAGCTGCCGCCGCCAGTCCGGCCTTCAGCTGCCGCTATCAGCCTACCGTCAGCCACTGTCCCCGTGGTTATGGGTTTCCAGGCGGCTAGACTGGCACCTGGCCGACAAGCGGCACGGCTGGCGGCATGACCCGCCCAGGTGAGTGGTACAGGTCTTGTGCGAAATTCTGTTCCCCTGTGAAAATCTGTTCCTTCTGGGTCGGGAGCGCGCATTGCAACCAGAGAGACGGATCCGGCGGATCTGACCATTTTCACGGCGCTTCTGATCGATTTCTCGGTAAAACCGAGATTAAAACATTCATTTTAATCGGCAGCTGTTTTAAAAAGAAGCAATAACAAAATTGTAAAATAAATAAATAAACGAGGTCTTGTGTGGAGATCTTCTTACGCTGTTTTGTGTTTTAAACGCCAAGAGAATCGGTCTTTGTCCAACTTTTGTCACTTAAACCTGACAAATAAGTCAGGTTTAAGTGGAACAAACACAGGTTTAAGTCACCAAACACAGGTTTCCAACACGTAGTGTGTATTTAGAATTTTTCATTGCTGATATAAGAGGATGGAAACTGGATGATAGCAGGGCACCAAACATTAAGACTTTCTGAAAAGAAGAGAGACTTTCTGGTAAATCTCATTCTAATGTAAATATGACAAATAACTGGATTAAGGAAATTTCTAGTATACCGCATGCTATCACACATAACAATTTTTAAGAATTTGAAAACAGTTGCTCTTTATTTCCCAAAGTTGTGGGGGGAGGAGAGGAGAGACTGGATATTTCAGCTGCCTGAAATAATCTGTTCCCCCTCCATGAAATGGAAACAAATTAATTTACCTGCAAGTCTTTAACTGTGTTTATTTCATCAACAATAAATCATGTAAGTTTGAAAACACTTGTTCTTTATTTGACAAAGTTATGAGGGGGAAGGCAAATAGCCACCTGAAATAATCCGTTCCCCCTTCATAACATGGGAACAAATTAATTTACCAACAATTCTTTAGCTGTGCTTATTCCTCTCTTCAACAACAAATCCTGTTAATTTGGTAGTGTTTGTGATAGGTATTTTCTCAAACCTACATAAAAAAGAAAGAGCCACAGACAACGTATATGAGTTTTCAACCAAACTTCTGCAGAAGGAGAAGACACAGTAAACTGCTTCTCCAAGCCTCTCACCATGTGTTCTGAAAACCTTCAGTTGTTTGTCTCTTTTATTAGCAAGAAGGGTGTGAAAAGGAATGGAGGGGGTGAAACCCCACATCCTATCTTCACAGTAGGATGTGAATTCAGAAACAAAGAAGGGGGACACAGAAACTTAATTAATGTCATTCCTAAGTGAGTAGCCATGTTTTGTACTACCTGATTTACAAAATGTGGCCCATTGTCACTGTAAATAGTTTGTGGAATACCATATTTTGGAATAATAGTTTTGCAAATAGCCTTAGCTACCGTCAAAGCATTTGCATGCTTTGCTGGGACTATTTCAACCCATTTAGAAAAAGCATCAATCATCACCAAACAATATTTATATGGTCCACTTTGTGTGAGTTCAAAAAAGTCCATATGCATTGTTTGAAATGGATAAGAGGGTTTTGGGAACCTGCCTCATTTTGGCCTTATGTTTCCCTGAGGATTGTATTTCACACAGACTGGACATGCAGTACAAAAAATTTTTAGATAAGAATTTAATCCATATGTGGTCAAATGCTGTTGTATTATGGTTTCCATCCCCCCTGTTGACACATGGCAGCGCCCATGTGTCACAATCGCTGCTGCTTTAAATAAAGACTTAGGGAGAACTGGTTTATCATTTACCTCAAAAATTTTCTCATCGTTCATTGTCACACCCTTAGTTATCCACATCCGTTTTTCTGCCTGTGGTGCGTTGTCCTGCATGTCTTTTAACACTGTTTTGTCTATCATTTGTTGTTCTTCAGTCTGCGCTGAGAAGGTTCCTTTCCCATGCTTCCCTGCTGCAGCTTCTTTAGCTATTTTATCAGCTAGTCTGTTTCCATTTGAAACTTCATCTTTCCCTTTTGTGTGAGCTGAGCATTTACATACTGCCAGTTTGGCTGGGAGTTGTATTGCTTGCAAAAGATTTTTAAGCAAGGATGCATGGGTGACTGGTTTCCCTGTAGAGGTTATCAAATTCATCAAAGTGTACTCTTTCTAAATAAAAAGGACCATCCTGAAATTAAACCAAAATCTCAAATCCTATAATTCACTATTTCTTTGTAAATTTAACAATAATCAATTAATCAAACCTAGATTACAGGTTTTAAATTTTAGTATAGAAAATATTGCTTTAATTCACAATCATCAGTTTGGAGTAACTAATTACATCCACTAGGGTGGCTTAAGATATCAAAATTTCCCTTAACTGTGCATTTTGGACCAGCTGACAATATATATATTTTTAAATTAAATGATTAATAATTTGATCAGTTACTCAATTCCTGAGTACAGTTTGTTTATTCTCATAATCACACATCTAATCACATCTGCACAAGAGCGACACAAACAGAAACATAAAACAGATTTGTAGTCAGTTCAAATTTGATCAGTTGTAAACTTTCAGTCTGTCCTTTTTGTTTTCTTTGCTGCTTCTTGTTGATCAAATTTTAGTTGGTGTGATTTAGTGGCATAAGTCTGTTAGTTCTTTGCTGAACTTTTAGTGCTTGCATGTTTTGTTTTCCTTCAAAGTTTCCCATCCTATGGCTCGTGGACCCTAAGAGGATCCTTAGCAATGGTCCTCTGTTAAGGACTGAATTAACGGGTAGAAAGTGGAAGATTTTATCTAACATTGTACCTAAAAGCCTTTGAGATGTTCTTTTCTAGCTAGATAATTCCTATATGCTAGTAAGTAAGCAATCAAGTCTTCATTACAGTGGCAGTGTGTATATCACAGCAGTGTGTGTATAACTTATCTCGTATGTCTTCTTTCTGTCTCGCTTCCCCCTCCTGCTGCTGGCGTCGCTGCAGCTGGTCCTCCTTCCGTCTCTCCTCCAGCTCCTTGTCAGTCCAACTGGCTCTGGTGTTGGATTTTTGAGTTATCCAGACCATCCCTTAGCCAATGTCCAGGTTGTCCACCAATGAAACAAATGTCAAACAGTTCGGTTTGCTGTCTTCTTCTCTGAAACACATTATCTTTTCCTTCTCCACACTGATGCCAAAGACTAAACCAGCAGAGGTTGTAAGAGCTCAATTGCATCCAAACACAGGGATGTATTTTCAGTCCAAATGTCCAGCAGGACACCATACAGTAGTCTGCTGCTTGGCAGTTCCCAGATGTCCAAGAATTAGGATCATCAGACACTTCAGTGCCTTCAGTGCCCAAGTGGTGGAAATCTTCCTGGTCTGTTTTGTCTTCTTTATTTTCTGGATCTTCTTGATCGCTGTCATTGGCTGGTGATGAGGGAATGGACATCATCATAGCAGGACAAGTTTGAGTTGAGGTCAGAGGTCAGACGCACCACAGCGAGGCTCAGACAGAGGAACAGGAAAGAAGCAAATAGGAGTAGGTTAGGGTTTGTCTGTCTTTCTGTGTTTTATTTTATTTTTTTTTTCATAAATATTTATATAACTTTTCTCTCTTGTGATCGTATAGTTTTAGCCACTTATTACCCAACATTTTAAGAAGTCATAAATCATTTCCTTATTTAAACACATATAAACATGAAACATGTTAGAGCCTGTAGTCTCTTTTATCCTGTACAATATTAAACTTCATAGTGTAGAATGTAAGTTTATGTTAACTTTGACTGAGTTAACATCTCACCAGAGAACAATGGATTTCTCTAAATCTGTTGATCTCAGTGCTGAAATCTGTGAAGCCAGCGGGCAGCCCTCCTCTCAAGGCCTAAGACAGACATGAGGCTGGATAATGTCCAGGTCGGTACCTTACTCTGACTGCTGACCCTCCAGATATTCAGCCCAAAGGATCCTGGCACCAAGTTGGTGTTGTAATAATCAACACATTAAAACGTTGTTCTCTAAGAAGAATGCTTTATTAATTTTTTTCTTAGATTTTACTTTATTTTTATATTTTATCTCTTTTAAATTTGAATTCTTTCTGTAGTTGCTTTCAACCATGTTTTAGCACATTTTATCTCCTCCTTTTTCTTTGTTTTCCTCTTTCCCATCATTTTTTTTGTACTCTGCGATTTAGCTTAAAATGGCTTGATATTTTGTGCTCCCTCAAAGAAAGTGCCGTAAATCAGCGCTTCTCTAGTGTTGAATTCTAATTCTGTGGACAGAAAGTTTTACTCTCAGAGAGTTGAGCACCATTCACACTTGCACACACACACACACACACACCCTGCCAATGCGAGGATCTTCCCTTACGGGGCACCTCATCCAGAGGGGGACTCTAAATTACCCCTCCTTCCTTTTCCCTGCCAACACGAGAATCTCTATAAAGAGATATCCTCATCCAGAGAGGGGCTCTAAAATACCTCTCTTTCCTTTCCCTGCCTACGCGAGGATCTCTGTAAAGAGATATCCTCATCCAGAGAGGGGCTCTAAAATACCTCTCCTTCCCTGGGACTCAACCACAATTTAGGGACTCAAACCCGAATAGCGCTTTTCCACTCATGTTTCTGTTGGTTCGTTTTGTCTGTTCGGATCTCGTCAATCCGTCATTGGCAGACAAAGTCGGACCTACGTCGCTGGCCCAGCGAAGAATTCACTTCCCAGGACTTTGTTTGCAGGTCCTGTTGACTCTGGCCGTGCACAGTTTCAGCGCGCCATTCTTCGTCTGTCAGCGAACGGAAATGTCGAGAATCCGGGTCACGGCACCAATTGATAGGTATTTTCTCAAACCTACATAAAAAAGAAAGAACCACAGACAATGTATATGAGTTTTCAACCAAACTTCTGCAGAAGGAGAAGACACAGTGAACTGCTTCTCCAAGCCGCTCACCATGTGTTCTGAAAACCTTCAGTTGTTTGTCTCTTTTATTAGCAAGAAGGGTGTGAAAAGGAATGGAGAGGGTGAAACCCCACATCCTATCACAGTAGGATGTGAATTCAGAAACAAAGAAGGGGGACACAGAAACTTAATTAACACACAGATAGGTTTACAGCTCAGGAGTATCCCAGGAAGATCTAAGTCACCATCTGTAAAAACATGCTTGAGATTAATGTAAGAATGATTGTGTCTCCACAGTTTCAACAAATTTGAACACTAAACCTCTAAATAGAAAAGCAACTAGTAACATTAAATTACAAATGTAAGGATGATAAACATAATTCTAACAGTTTGCTCTTTATTTTCCAAAGAGGGAAACCATATATTTCAACCACCTGAAATAATCTGTTCCCCCTTCATAACATGGGAAATAATTAATTTACCAACAAGTCTTTAACTCTACTTATTCCTCTTGTCATCAACAAAAATTCCTGTGACCAGCAAGTCTTTAAATGTGTTAATTCCTCTCTTCATCATCATTTCAGGTGGGTAAAATAATTGGTTCCCCCCTAATAACTCTGGCAAATATTGATTAAATATTACATTTACAGGATTTGTTGTTCATGAAAAGAAGATTAAACACAGTGAAGGACTTGCAGGTAAAACAGTTTTTCCCATATTATAAGGAGGGGAACAGATTATTTCAGTCAGCTAAAATATGTGGTTTCCCCCAAGTAACTTTGGCAACTAAGAAGTAAATGTAACCAAAATCACAGGATTTGTTGTTGAAGAGAGGAATAAGCACAGTTAAATACTTGCTGGTAATTTAAATTGTTCCTATGAAATGGAGGGGGAACCGATCATTTCAGACAGCTAAAATATTTGGTGGCATTCCTAACTGACCATTTTTCTTTGTGTTGGAAGAAAGACTGCTCTAAATCATAAATGCGTCTTATTTAAAGTAAACCTGTTAGGATTGACCTTTGTCAGCCTCAAAAGAACCCATTAGCTTGAAATTGCAATTGAGATTGACTGCGCTTGTGCATTGTCAGGGAGCGCTGAGGAAGATGTAGGTGTGTGTCGCCTGGCAGACGGCTGCGGGAACTGCGCTAGAGTGTCGGCAGTGGTGAAAGAGTGGCGGTGCTGGAACCCCCGTGGTTGCCAATAGGCCTTCAGCGAGCTTCACTGTGACGGCCTCCAACGCCGCTTGCGGCTTTAATATGTTATTGTTTTTCATCGTATAATTGTGTGAATAAATGAAAATAAATGGAGCTTTGTGATTCATGAGGCTTCTTCATTCCAATTTGGTAATATACAACACTTCCAGACTGAAGTAAGCATCTCAATAAGCTGCTCCACACATTAACATGGCAGTGGAAATGTAAAAGAAGTTTAAGTTTTGTCTGATGAAACCTCCGTCCATTTGGCTCCAGGATTGAGTCAGTGCACCTTTGTGTATTGGAAAAGATGAAACTAGTCACATGCATGTGCAATATACAATATGTCTAGCTTGATCAATAGTCAAGCTAGACATCAATAATTAATTATTTTATAAAAGTAGCCACCCTCATTATAAGCAAACACACATACCCACCCCATACACACAGATATATCCGTTATGCACAACTTCACACACAAACACATGCCTGCACAAACCATTTATACTCAAGTTCTCTCTTAAACAAAACTGCTCTTCATTAAAGAACTCCTAACCTCTCCACGCAGAGATAAAGGGTAATTACGTGGCTATCGCCTATTCAGATGTCTCATTTTTCTGAGCGCACGGACCGCAGATAAGGTTGCTTAATTAACTTAAGTGGTTCTGTTCCATCACCTCTGAAATAGTCGCCCTCAAACTGCTGATGGGAGAGCAGAGGAGGGCTCCATTATGCAGCCATTTTCAATTATTGCTACTGTCTCATCTACTCAGTTTCACAGTGAAAGTTTGTTCATGGGATACTTCTCAGTTGTGTGAAGTAGATCAAGGCAAAACAGGGTTATAAACTGATATAGTATTAGTATTGTTTCGTAAGGTATGACCTCAAAAATTTGTCTGTGTCTTATCCATCCATCCATCCATTTTCTTCCGCTTATCCGGGATCGGGTCGCGGGGGCAGCAGCTTCAGAAGGGAGGCCCAGACTTCCCTCTCCCCAGCCACTTCTTCCAGCTCCTCCGGGGGAACCCCAAGGCGTTCCCAGGCCAGCCGAGAGACATAGTCCCTCCAGCGTGTCCTGGGTCTTCCCCAGGGCCTCCTCCCGGTGGGACGTGCCCGGAACACCTCACCAGGGAGGCGTCCAGGATGCCCGAGGTGGCTCGGGCATCCTGACCAGATGCCCGAGCCACCTCAACTGGCTCCTCCCGACGTAGAGGAGCAGCGGCTCTACTCTGAGTCCCTCCCGGATGACCAAGCTTCTCACCCTATCTCTAAGGGAGAGCCCAGCCACCCTGCGGAAGAAACCCATTTCGGCCGCTTGTATCCGGGACCTCGTTCTTTCGGTCATGACCCAAAGCTCATGACCATAGATGAGGGTAGGAACGTAAATCGACCAGTAAATCGAGAGCTTCGCTTTTTGACTCAGCTCTCTCTTCACCACGACAGACCGGTACAGCTCCCGCTTCACAGCAGACGCTGCCCCAATCCGCCTGTCGATCTCCCACTCCCCTCTTCCCTCATTCGTGAACAAGATCCCCAGATACTTAAACTCCTCCACTTCAGGCAGGACGACCCCCCTGACCCGGAGAAGGCACTCTACCCTTTTCCGGCTCAAGACCATGGCCTCGGATTTGGAGGCACTGAGCCTCATCCCAGCCGCTTCACACTCGGCCGCGAACCGCTCCAGTGAGAGCCGCAGATCACGTTCCGATGAAGCCAAAAGGACCACATCATCCGCAAAAAGCAGAGATGCGATCCTAAGATCCTGTGTCTTATTGATGGTCGTAAAACTCAAAAACCACATTCCAGATTTTATCCCAGCATAAGTTGTGATCACTTTCAGTAGAAAGTTTAGAAAACTTTGTCATGAAGTGGGGTTTTGTTGATGAGGACCAGAGGTGAAAGTAGTTTTAAATTCTTGGGGGTACTATGACAAAAGAACATAACTTCTTCTTTGTGTGCTTTGGAGTTTCTGTGATGTTTAATTTTTTTGTGAAGCGATAAAAGCTGGGTAGCTCTTGAATTGGTACCAAATAAAGCTATATTTTCCTCAGCCTCTTGACTGGCAATGTTGACATGTTAAGATGCCATGAGACCTAAATCCTGAACATCCTGGCATGGAGTACATCCCGGTTTTCCATGTCTGGCATATAACCATTCATTTTAGCTTTTAAACTGGTTCTATTGATCCTGTGTCCAGACAGAGGGATAATCAGAAGGCCTAGCATCATGACCTGTTTGTTCTGAAGATCCTGCAGTCTCCACTTCATCTTTCTAACATGATGCCTCCTCACCCACTACTGCAGGTGTTATGTTTTGCCCTGATTGGTGCTCTGCTGCTTTAAAGCTACCATGCATGCAGCAGTGTGGAGGCTTTTCCCTCTTCCTCATCAGAACCCTGTTTGGTTTTGTTTGTATCTTTTGGTTGGGTTTTGTTAGGTTTGTTTTGCATTTGCTTATTTTTGGTTAGCTATGGGTTTTGCATTAATCTATTTTGATTTCTCATTTCAGGTATTCCTTTTTCAAGTTTTATTTCTTTAGTATAATCCAATAAATTCAATTTTCATTTAATCAGAAAATCCTTGTGTGGTCTCCTTTAATGTTACCCCACCAAACGAGCCTGGTGGATGTAACACTCAACACACCCCACTCCTCCTTCCATTCAGGTTTTCTGCCACTGTTTTTCAACGTATGTCATCTTCCTGTATCCTTTGGATCGACTCTATCCAACCCTATAACTACTTCCAACAAGTTTTTTCCTTTTCATCCACCGACTCCCATTTGTCCATGTGATGATGATAATGTATGGGTCCAACTTTGTTGTCACACTTGACTAGTGTATGTTTTTATGGAGGTGTGTGCATTAATGTGTGTTTTCTCTCCTGGGCAGCTGGTGAATTACTGCAGAGGTTAGAGTGAGGACGACGGTAGTGTATCAAGTTAGAAACATACTGATCAAACTCTGGTAGACAAAAGTGGGATAAACAAGTTTCTCTAAGTCATGTCAGTAATATTGCTAATAATTAGATCCATAAGGTTTGTAATTATGTAAAAATATCAGCAACTTTTTAACATACATACTGTGATTTTTAAGATCATCATACAACTATTGCAGAGGTTCCCAAACTGTCATTGCAGGGGCGGCGCGGGAAGCCGTCTGGTTGAAAAAAAAAAAAAAAAAAAAACATGAACACTGTATGCGCTGGGTTTTTACCTTAGAATGGCCACCTCTCTGTTATTCCTATGTCAATTTGATACAGTAGAGGCTTCCACACTTCCCATATTTGTGTCCTCTGTCACTTTTATCAGCAGTTAAAACTGTTTAATCTGTTGTTAACGTGTTGTAACCTGTTTTTCTGAGCCGCCTTTAAACGCAACATGAGCGCTACGACGCTCGCGCTGGGTTTACACCTGTGAAGGAGACCTGCTGCTGCTGTGCGGAGCTACGTAGGTTTGTGTTAGAATCACGGCAGCAAACCAGCAAAACGCAAAGAACTTTTCACAGTTTTTCCCTTCAAACTAACCGACTGAGTTGAGTAAAGCTGTTGGATGCAGGTAATGTTAGCTAAAAGATGACTAGCTAATATCAATACAGAACCTTAAGCTTAACAAGTACCTTGTAGGCTATGATGTTGGTGTCTATTTTCAGCTATGTACATTCATTTTGCCCCCAAAAAAGTTGATGCCCCCCCTCCCGTCACACGCGTCGTTTCAACCAGACAGCCATTTGTAATCCATGGGGGGGGCGCAGAAAATGTTTGGAAACCACCGGGGGGGCACAGAAGAAAAAGTTTGGGAACCACTGGCAT